CATTATCGACCGAAAACTCGACATTACCGACAGAGCAATCTACATTACCGACATTGCAATCTACATTACCGACAGAGCAATCTACATTACCGGCAGAGCAATCTACATTACCGACAGAGCAATCTACATTACCGACATTGCAATCTACATTGCCGACAGAGCAATCTACATTATCGGCTGAGCACTCGACATTGCCGACAGAGCAATCTACATTATCGGCCGAGCACTCTACATTACCCACAGAGCTCGGTCGAGTGCTCGGCCGATAATGCAAAGTGCTCTGTCGGTAATGTTGAATGCTCGGCCGATAATGCACGTTACGCTGTCGATAACGTCGAGTGTTCGGCCTATAATGCAGATCGCTCGGTCGATATTGCAGATCGCCCTGTCGGTAATGTAGTTCGATTGGCCGGTAATGCAGATTGCACGTCAATATCTCCTTAATAAAGCCTCGAACAACATTTTCGTTAAGAAAAAATTGTTTCAAATAACACCCCCCCGCCCCCCCCCCCCCCCGCCTCCGAAACACCCTATTCGAGGACTATCAACATTTTTGGCACACCCTGTATATAATTGCAAATGGGATTATCAGGAATACATGTGAAAGGATTGGTTGCGTTTGCTAAATTCCTTGTCGAGCTACACCAGAGCATAACAATTTTGCACCAACAATGATTTTAAACAATAAAAGTGTCCATAAATTTTTGCTAACGGGAACATCACGAATTTATCTATTATGAAAAGCGGAATGTTCCATTGCGGTCGGTAATTTCCTCATCGAGTTACATCATATAATAGGAATTGGGCGATAACAATAGTTATAAACAATACAGATATTCATAAATTTTTGCAATAATCAAAATTACGTCTTTTTGGTAAAAAAAAAACGGGTAAAAAATGACAAACCGCAAAAAGTCGTGATAATGGGACCACCGGGGGGGGGGCATGCTCTATAAGATGCAACACGATTCATTCCGAAAAAATATATATATATATAAAATATATATATATATCGTGTTGCATCTTATAGAGCATATATATACATGTCGAATTGAGTAACCTCCTCCTTTTCGAAGTCGGTTAAAAATATTGATCGTTTCCCCCCAGTTTCTTCGTTGGGTTCGTTTTAACCTAGGCTTATGAACTCCTCGAGTCAATGAACGTTGATACGTTTTTGTTACTAAAAATAGAATAGCGAAATGCAAGGCAGGTTCAAACTCCTGGGAAATACGTGCGAGCGTTCGTAATTTGCGCGAATATACGGAAAGCGTTATTCGCGGCGTGTGTGCACAAGTGGTCATTAGTCAAAGGATATACGAATCATTTACTAAGATGGTGTATGTACGTTATGCTTCTCAGATCTTACTTTTGCGATAAACTATAGCAACTGTTTATTTAAGAGACACCTGATATTTCTTTTAAGTAAATCAACGACTTAGTTGTAGGTAAGTACTAACGGCTGCCAGGGGGCGTAAAATGTGACGTTTGGTAGTTGTAGCCGTATCGATTAGTCGGACATCTAGTTTCGTTAATGTTGACACGAAGAGAACGCCAATACCGAAATTCTACGTTACACGTCATCCATTAGTTGGGCATGTATAACATTCCATTACTATATTCCCAGACACCTATCTCAATCGGAATAGCAGACAGTACGTTATGACGTCTATCCATCATCGATCGACACTGAATCTTTATCGCGGTAAGGACAATTTATGGATATATCGAAACAGTTCCTGCGACTCGACCAAAATTCATCGGGAAAGATTTTTCACGTATGTATAAGCAGAATTAAGACTATATTTAAAAGTAAATAATAACTTTGTTAAATTAAAAAAAAAAAAATTACTACGTATCACAGTGATTGAATCGCCACAATCGATATAATAAATTGTCCAAAAAATGAAGTTTCAACCTATTGATAATGATCTAATAAAGTTTTTTATTACTAATCAAAACACACGAACTCCAGAACCATTTAAATCTCGAAAACAAAGATAAATGAACTTGCAGCACATTCGCAATAAACGGCTCGTATGTCATGATTTCAGGAGGAATGTTCATGCACGTAAATTGCACATAACTAGCGTTAAGCTTGTCTTGCGATGGATACAGTAGGAATAGGCGAGTAACCATAATAGCGCACCATGTTAAGCAAATGTATGTTCGGGGACACGATGACGCGAAGTAACGAGATAACTTTGTAACAATAATGAAATACATACGTGTGCATCGTGTAATGCAAAACGAAGGGCGCACGTCCTGTAACGTGGAAACAGTAGCCGGAAAATCGGATTCGTTAAGCGCAACGGAAAATCACATATTTCAGGTTGGCCCGATCGATGCTGTGGTTTATTACGTTCCGGATGCAAGCAGGGAAACGCGGCATTATGATGGCACGTGAAAGGAATTCATAGAATCGAATTACATTAATAAACGTTGGTTAATTGCGGCGATTAAGAATCCAGCCACGCACAGCACTGATTCAACAATAACGATTGGACGCGATGCGTAACTAATTAATTACGAGAAATCGTGGGTGATTAGTGTTGCTCCTGGGGGGGGGGGCCCCCCTGAGAGCAGCAATCTGGTAAATGTAGTCGAATTGAAAATGTATACTACATATATCAAGTGGTAGCTCAAGTGTAAAATTATAATATATTATAAATTAAAATTCAGAGCAAGTATTCATTGAAGACATTAATCGTTGGAAATTTGTCTATACTTTGATATCTATTCATTGCAATAACTAAAAATTAATTTATAGTAGCAGTTAAATTAATTATTAAGAGTACTTGTTGACGCAATTGTGGGGAATTTGACTTTGCTGTAATATTGATGTTTCACGAACTAATTTTTCAATAGATCCAACGAGACCTCGAATCGATCATACGATCATTCTTCAATGATTCTTCGAGCGGTACGAATTCCGCGATCGCGAGTGCGCGTCTCATGTCCGTCATATTTATTTCTGTGTCTAATTACTAACATTTTCTTGATATTCGAACCTTGTAATTTTTTCCTGAAAGATTTTTTTGTGTCTACGATAATTTAGGCATTACCGTTCTGTAACAATTTAGCTGCTTCACCCTGTATAAACCGCAACTTTCAGAACAAAGTACCAAGCAGATTGCCTCTTAACAAAGTTAAGACCCGCGGCAAGCATCCTGTTACGGTGCACCACACATACGCTTTATGAACAAAAGAAAATATGTCACAATAAGCTTACGGTAAAGAAACATACGTATAGATGCACGCATGTAAATATGTTTGACTAGACGCAAAAACAGAGGCACGACTCGTCCATGCGTAAAGGAACTAACCAGTCAAATTACTCTAAAATAATATGTTCTTTGGGAATTAATTCTCAATGAAATGAATCCTATTCTAGACTTTTTCTTTCACACAAGTTGTTTACACACTTTAAAGACTAAGAACACTTTTTCAATGATATTTGTATATGTTAAAAATATCGAAGTTGACGAAGGGACCATTTTAAAGAAGTTTCTTTGATTTGTAGTATAGTCTTGTGGAGCTTTAAATATAAAGAATTCGAAATTTCGTTATTAAAAAATAAAACTGTTTCCTTTTTAAAAAAGAAAATACTAATCACTAATCCTTGATCCTTGACGATTTTTTATGAAACTTGGTATACAGGGGTTTTTGGGATCGCTGATTCCAAATCTGAACTCGAAATTTAGAAATTCAAAATGTGGAAAGTGAGTGAATTTGGATGAAACTTGGCATACAAGTGTTTTACAGAGAAACTATTTAAGTACTCTCTCGGGGTCGTTCTTTTGTTACGCGTTTCAATTGGTCAAATTTACTCTAACAAGCCGTCAAAAGTTTCACTTTAAAAACAGAACTTCACCATATGTTCCACCTTCTTTCACTAATGCAAGTGGAACATTTCGATTCCTTAATGTTTAACAGACATTCTGGATCTTCATAGGGCAAATTCCGTGTCAACTGGATTCTATTTGTAGGACACAGGTTGCGCTGATATCCTTTCGACACGATTCGTTCTTTTAAAAATGCATAAGATCGCTGAGAGCTCAAAGTGACGCGTCGGTCGAAAAAAAAAAAAACAACGCAAGGAGTCATCAACAAATCTAAATCAGGTATCGATCGATAGAAATGCCTCGACATAATGTGAATAAATTTGAACCTTCGGTATTCCATATGAAATTTTTTGAAATTTTAGGAAAACTGTATAGAATTATATAAACATTATTTCAAAAGTATATAATAAATAATATTCACGCCACTCACAGAACATCATTAAATATAAAGGTTTGTTTATAATTTCCATTTCTAATTATAGATTTCTATCTTTTTAGAAGTAGGCAATTATAGGAGACCTTAATTTCACTTCGTGCTACTAGTAGCGCTGGAATCGTATTCCATTCGTGTCGATAATGGTGCATTTACTTACGAACATGTAGGCAAGGTTTCAGAAGTTGATCAACAGATGGCTCCGACCGCAATCTTTCTCTCAATGGAAGTTTGTGTTCTAGCGTTCCGTCACGTGATCACGTGTAGCCAGCCAATCAGAGCGGACTTTCCGTACCATGTGATCGGAAAAATCGAAATGGTGGACGTATCGGGACGCAGGATCCCGAGAGGAGACGAAGGACGATAAACTGGGCAAGGGCCCGTCATCCGTGTCATCGGTATTATCAATTCGATAACACGATTAACCGCGAATATCGGTGTGACTTCAAGGAGGACCGTCGACGATATAACCGACGCATAAGTATCGGTGACAGTGTCTCTTGTTTACCGAAGTGTCAATCCGCCCGTATTGTACAGTGTGTTCTCTAGATGCGAGAAAACAGAGGGACAGTGTGTATCGAGTGCACGAGAATCACAGTTGTACGTACCGTTCTCTCGGTTAGTGCGTTATCACGACGTTCCACGAGAAAGGGAAAATAGTGTTAGAGCAAACGAATAGGTAGGAAGAAAACTGAAGATCCGTGAACAGACGGCAGTGCGTTTTACAGTGAAACTTTTAAGCCCGCGGAAGCATGTCCAAGTATGCGAGTGCCTCGGTGATCCGTAAGAATGTGTCACATCAAGCGTCTTGTTATCAGCGAAGAAGGTAATGGAGAAATCCGTATACTTGGAATTAGAGCTTCGACGTTTTCATTACATTCTTCGACGATGATACGTAACGACCAGTAAGTGTCATGCCTGGACGAGAAATTCCTGATGACTTTAAGCCCGGTTTACTATGTTGACGTTCACACTCGCAGATCGCCGCTGATTGGTGGTATGGTCCATGACCCGCCAATCGGCGTCGGAAGACGGTTTTCCTGCGAATGTCAGCCGTCAGGTCCGAGGCAATCGGTATCTGGGGAACGTATGTCGTTTTTCGCAATCCTTTGTGTATCCAGCGAATGATCGATGCGTTACGTTTACTGCCCGCAACACACTATTCGGAATAATATTTCGCAATTTTTCTTATATCTCTGATACGATTTATTCGGGATTCTTTAATTGAAAAAATTACCGGTAAAGACGTGGGCACGTCCGGGGATATTTTTAAATTCGACCGTCGTACATTACGTTGTAAAAAAGCCAGAATAAGAGAAAAAGAGGCTCTGAAGTAACAAAGACACGTGTAAATCGTGAATTTATTCGTTTTAAGGTTAGAATTGTTGATTATTGTGAGGTGTTTTCAAGTTAGATTGGTTTGACACCATTTGACAGATACTTTGTTTGTGCTAATGCGGTGAAACGTGTAAATGTAAAGTTAAATCTTTGCAAAAGTGAATATTGCGTGGAGTGTTTGGAATATTGACAGAAGTAACAATGAAGTTTCCAATGCAAAAAAAAGTACTTAGCCTTCGGTTGCATATAGAATGCGAATGTTATATTTATATATAGCAAATAACAAAGCATAATGATGATGTTACCAATGTAACATAACAAATAGTTGTCTTGAAACAGTGATGTGTCATACATCTTTCTTTTTCAGATAAGATACTTCCTTAACGCACAAAAGTTTTTATAATATGTACAAATGCAAGTACATCTGTAATCTTTTGCAATAACTGTACTAAAATACTCAAGAGGCATAGGAATGTTGATAAAGCATTGAGAACTTTGGATTATTGTCTCAGCAAGGAAACTGAGTTACTGCCTGCCAACAATAGGACACCTACGCACTTTTCAAGTACATAGTGAACATCATGATAAAATATAATGGCTGTCTGAAAGATTTTACTGGATGTCCAGTGTTAAATACGCGATACCTGAATTAAACCTATTGTTTTATAAATTTAAAATACTCTAACAACAGAAGAACAAAATCAACAAGGATCTACAAACTTGACTGAATATATAAATTTAAAGAAGAGTGAAATAACTTTAACAACTCTATTTTATTATAAAAAAAAAATATATATATATATTAATCCATGATCACAATACTCTATGGTATTTTGTCCTATTCATTAAATTAAATGAATCTAAATGAATGCTTAAACAAAGATTTGGAAATATTTTACTATTTCTGTACACTATGTATTGCAATGAAAGAACATTAGTATCCACAAAGTTTTATTTTGTTGAATCAGTTCATGTGTAAGACTTGATGTGGTACATATATTTGAATGTGGTTTTTTAGTTTATGAGTATTGGATAATTTTTTGAGTGCACTTGACAAAATTGAAGTAAATAAATTAATGTAAACAATACCTGTAAATAAGTCCAGTAAGCAGTAAGACTAACAGTGAACATTTTTAAACAAAATGTATAAAAGTTATTTTAAACGTTTGCATCAGTGGCTGTATATAATTGAGAAACAGAAAGTAGGGGAAACAATACATTTGAAATTCTGTATGGATGACAGAGGACAAATTTGTTAACCCTATTAAAATTAAGGTAAAACAATGTATGTAAATAGTGTTTTCAATACTTAAAATTCATAATACATGTAACTGTACATGTATTAATTCATTAGGAAGTTTGTCATGTACTTTTAATTGTAGGGTTAAAAAAAATGGATACCTGTTGCTCAGGAGTAGTGCAAGTATTTGTGGGTGAATGGAGCCCAGAATATGAAGCACTTTCAATTAAAGCTACAAAACAAACTTCATCAGCTGAAATAGTAGAATGTATCATTGAAAGACTTGGGTTAGTTGATGCTTCTGTTTCAAATGGTTATGAGTTGGCAGAAGTGGTTGGAAACTCTGTTGGGCAAGAATGTAAAGAAAGAAGACTTGGCCCAACTGAGTGCCCTGTAGCACTTATGTTACTGTGGCCAAAAAATGCAGCTCAACAAGAATATTACAGGTAAGCATTACTACAGTTATAATTACTATAAATTGGAAACAAAATTATAAAAGAAACAAAAGTGTCGTGATGTTATGTATGTGATATTTTTTTTGTTATAGGTTTTACTTGCGAAAGAAGCAACCTGATTTATGGTCGGATAGTAGATTTCCAATGGATCCACAACTCTTAAAGGACTATTTTAACAGATTCCTATATCAACCACGCGATAAGGAATATCCAGATCTATGTCAGCTTCCAGACCTTAATGAACAAACTCTGTTGGACAACCTTAGGGCTAGGTTCTTAGCTGGAAACATATACACCTATGTCGGCAGCATATTAATTGCATTGAATCCGTTTAAATTTTATCCTATCTACAATCCAAAATATGTAAAACTCTATCAAAATAGAAGATTGGGGCCAGACATACCTCCACACATATTTGCCATAGCCGATGCAGCTTACCATTGTATGCTTAAAGAAAAAAGAAATCAGTGTATTGTTATTAGCGGCGAGAGTGGATCGGGTAAAACTGAATCGACAAATTTTCTACTGCATCATCTGACAGCTCTTAGTCAAAAAGGTTCGCATGGTAGCGGTGTCGAACAGACGATACTCAGTGCCGGTCCTGTATTGGAAGCGTTTGGAAATGCAAAAACCGCACACAACAACAATAGTAGTCGTTTCGGCAAATTCATACAAGTGAATTACAAAGAAAATGGAATGGTGCATGGGTAAGAATTTTACAAAATAAGGTTATGGTCATATAAATTTGTGATGAATTATGTGAATGTATCGTAAAATTATTAGGGCTGTTGTGCAAAAGTATCTTTTGGAAAAGTCTCGAATAGTCTCCCAAGGAAGAAATGAAAGAAATTACCACGTATTTTATTACCTCTTGGCTGGAGCAAGTGAACAGGAAAAACAAGCTCTGCATTTAGAAAATTGTGATCGTTATAATTATTTAAATAAAAGTGGGTGTTACGGACTTGAAAATATCGACGAACGACATGAATTCTCAAGACTGAAACAATCTATGGAAATGGTTGGATTTACGCCGGAAAAACAGAGGCGGTTGTTTGCAGTTCTGTCAGCTGTTCTTCTACTCGGTGATTAGCATATTATCTAAATAATTGTTACAATGACCTAATCGTATTTAATTATTTTAGGAAACGTGGAGTTCCAACCTAGAAAATCTTATCATCATCATGATGAAGCCGTAGGAGTTAAGAATCCTGATGTGGTTGCGTTGATATCTGAACTTCTTAGAGTAAAACAAGATACGCTTTTGGCAGCTCTTACCGCCAAACGTGCGAGGGCTTCCGGAGAAACTTTAGTCATTAACTATAGGCTTCCGGAAGCAATTGCGGCAAGAGATGCTATGGCCAAGTGTCTGTACGGAGCTCTGTTTGATTGGATTGTGCTTCAGGCAAGTTGTTGATTCCTTTCTTTTAAAACACGCATCGTAAAATTGTATCCTAATAAGACGGAATATTTTCTTTTTTAGGTGAATCATGCTTTACTTTCCAAGAAGGATACGCTCAGAGATCATCAAGGCAATAGCATAGGTGTACTAGATATTTTTGGTTTCGAAGATTTCAAAACGTGCAATAGTTTCGAACAGTTATGTATAAATTATGCAAACGAACAACTACAACACTACTTCAACCAGCATGTTTTTCAATATGAACAACGAGAGTACAGAAAACAGGGAATTAGATGGACGGATATAGGATACAGTGATAATTCTGGCTGCTTAAATCTAATAGAGGGAAAGCCGAATGGCCTTCTCTGTCTCTTAGATGATCAGTGCAAGTTAGTATTTGATGTTTTTCTTATTCCGAGTGGATTGATTTTTAGGTTATGTTTGATCATTCATTGAAAATTTCCATTATAGTTTTCCTGGCGCAACGAATGAGACACTGCTACAAAAATTTAATTCAGTACATAAAGACAATCCATTTTACGAAGCACCACAACGACGAGAAGCAGCCTTCGTTGTACGTCATTATGCAGGGGCTGTTAAGTATCAAGCATCTAATATGAGAGAAAAGAACCTGGATCTGATGCGACCAGATGGTGTAGTTGGTGTATTGAAAAATTCTTCCCTCGCTTTTGTCCGAGAATTAGTGGGTGCCGACCCAGTGGCAGTATTCAGATGGGCGATTCTTCGAGCATTTTTTCGAGCTCATTTTGCTTTTCAAGAAGCGGGTCGAACTCATAGACATGGTCGAGGTACAGTATTATGTTCTTCATATTACGATTTAGTGTATATTTTGTATCGTTTAAATTCAATAATTGATGAACGTTTAAAAATATTTTTTGTTACAGCTGATGGTACAAAAACATCTGTACAAAATAGATACCGGACACCGAACGAGAATTTGATAAGGTATGTGTTATTATTCTATTTAATCCCGCATTATATTAACTCTCGTAAAAGGGTGACTCAAACAAGTTAGGCTAAGTGCTTGTATACCCATAATAGATCAACATTCGTTGAATAATAATGATCACAATAAATAAATACCTATGTTGTTGCGCTTGTTTTTGAATATGATTGATCTGCCTATTATCTTACCCTACGAAGTATAAATTTACGTTGTGCGTTAATAACATTTGCATCAAGCTGAAGAGGTTCCTATGTGTTTACAATTAAAGCAAATGTTAATTATATTTACATTGGCCAAATGTCTTTTGTCCTTGTAGCCATCTTGTGACGTTGTCGACCGTCAATCTAACTATTAACCGAATCGCGTAAGTGGCCTTTTGGATCCACTGTATGTGTCATTTTGGCAAACGTTACATTTTTTTTAGGTTAAGATTTTTTATGGATTTACAATGTTTGTCTTTAACATTATATCAGCGTCAAATTAACAGCACTTAAAGTACTAACTTTAATGATTAAACCTTATGAACTTGTAAATCCATATAATGTGTTCCAGTCTTGTGTGTTCAAGATATTGTTTAGAATTATATGTATGCACCCTTTGTATTAAGTGTGACTAGAGTGCAGTCTTCATAACTTTCGCTATACAGTTACATTCTGTCATTTAATGATATACTACCTTACTCGCTATTGTTCTGGAGCATGGTTAACAGTTCAATGATAACTTTTTATTTATACGATTCATACCAATCATTGAAGTTCATATTATTTCATTGGAGTCACTCATGAGATACCAGTTTTCCGCAGTCACTGATAAAATTAGAGGTCCGAATTAAGTGTTCGTCATTTACAATGTAATTACTACGTAGTTACATAAGGAGTATCAAAAAAACTAAGCATGAGAGACTTTTTCAGTTCGCACAAACATAATCGTCCACCAAGTTATCAGAAGCAGCGCAGTGTCTGTATACCATCAACTTTACCCACTACTACATTATCTTCTATACAACTTGAAAACAACGACAATGTAAACAACAACCGATTGTCGTGGCCACAATTTCGAAACATTAATCAAACGCAACACCCGTCCAATGTAACGATGATGAAGGGTTACTTAATAAGGGGCAGGGAAGACCAGCCTCATAGTAATAATAAACTCAGACGAGATACTCATACACCACTAGAGAGGGTGCTTCCAAAAGACGAAGCAAACGTCATGGAACGCGCTAATCAAATAGTCATGTATGTAAACAGCAGCCACTTAATATTCAATAACATTGTACTTTAAGCTACAAAAACTCACTGCTCTACAATAAAGGTAGTGTGTGCTCTATAGTGATTCTGGGTGAAGGATTTCTTTTCATAGGTAACAGCATCTTAGTAGGATAATGGTCTTCCCATGCAAATTCATATCACTGCTTTCCACAAATATTCATTACTTTCGAAGTATTTCTCGTGTTTTTTCAGAAGTACGTCATAGCTATCATTTCCTTTCGATATGTCATAATATTCACGATCATTATTCCGTACTTGTAATGTTTTTTAGTCGTGAAGTTTTAATAATTTTTCTGACATAATTTTAGCTATGATTGGTGCATGTTGATTTCACGATAGTAGTTTTCTCACTTTCTAAATCGATAATATATAAATTAGCCCATTCATAGCACGCATAAACTTAAAAGTCAATACTGCACAATGATCATCATCTCGAATTACGCACTTACACTTGATTTAAATGTACAATCGGGAATGGGTTAATTTTTATTACATATTGCTTCATGTAACAAATAAATTTTTCGAAAAAATCACGTTACTAAACTGTTCGTGCTATAAAGTCATGAACTTTTGCTAGCAATTAACTGCAATTACTTGCACGATGTAAAAGTTTTTTTTTATACAATTTAACAAATGTAATTAATACAATTTTTCCTCATTAATTGTTAAAAAAATTAAGTTCCGATGTTAGTAGTTTATAAAGTATGCAAAACGCTTGTTATGTATATTAATATTTTACATTAACTATTTATCTAGCGTAATAAGCAAATCGCATTTTTCTCGTACGGATTTCTTAGAATTTTCGAGTGACTATCCCTATACACAGTTAATCCTATTTTCACATGCTTTTGTTATATTTGCTACTATAATCAAGTCATGTGGTTAACGCGACCATAGTAACACTCTGCTAACTGTTTGCTACTTATACTATATAGTATATTCATTAGATATACTTGCAATGCCATACATGTCAATGTAAGAATTGTGTCTTCTCCTTTTCCTGTTTTCCTATTGCGTTAAACAATAATACTATAGCAAAGTTGAATTGGCTAATAAAAATTCTAGCGAAACATGTAAGTAATTACAAAAGGCGTACGTAATTTTTTTTGCGATTTATAACTGCAACTTATAATGTTTTACTAACGATAAGAGTTTAAGAAATAGGAAAAGGAGTCTTGAAACTAGTGCTTTCCAATGGTGGGGGCGCGAGTCCTAGCTTTTTAACGTAGAAAGATTTGATTAACTTAATTATTTCATTATATTAATACATCGGTCATCAAAGTTTAACAACTGGTGAAGCATATTTCGTCGTATCATTTCCAATCTATTATTTATCTTTGGCTTAGAAATTTTCTTCTTCTTTTTTAAGGGAGCGCCTTCCAAAAGCTTGGAAACCACTGCCCCGAGCTGTTGCTCAATGTTAAAATATCGAATTTTAACGCTTTTACAGGAAAAACAAATCATTTCGACCAAGAGAACGTGGTAAGAAGGGTTTAAAAAATCTTCAAACTGTAAAAACGCTCGCCGGAAGAACACAGAGTTATGGTACGGGACCGGGGAAAGCGAGGAAACAGCCCATGACAGTATCGGCGCAGTTTCAACAAAGCTTGCACAGTCTTATGGATACCTTAAATCAAGCGAATCCTTTCTTCATCAGATGCATTAAAAGCAACTCTAACAAAGTATCAAATGAGTTCGACAAGGAAACTGTGCAAAGGCAGTTAAGATATACGGGAATGTTAGAAACAGTTAGAATAAGACAAGCTGGTTTTAACGTCAGATTGACATATGAAGAATTTATTCAACTGTATAGAATGTTGCTGCCCAAGGGTTTGTTAAGTTCGCAATCAGATGTTAGAGACTTCTTACTGACGTTGAATCTTAATAAAGACAATTATCAACTTGGGACAACTAAAGTGTTTCTCCGAGAATCGGAAAAAATCCAATTGGACAGAGAATTGCACCAGCAAATCATCACGAGTATCACAACAATACAGAAATGGTTCCGAGCTTGTTTAGAGAGAAGAAAGTTCCTTAGACTGAAAAATGCAGTCGTGCAAATTCAGTCTTTCTGGAGAATGATCATTGCTCAACGATTGGCGCAGTCTTTGCGTGTTAAAATCGAAGCTGCTGTTCATATCCAGTCTGCTTGGAGAGCGTATAAGCGGCATAGTTGGTTCAAGAAATTTAAATCGTGTATGATTATGTTTCAAGCTCACATTAGAGGTAATATCGCAAGAAAGTCTTTCGCGGACCTGAAGAGACGAAAGAAGTTGCTCGTTGATAAAATTGGGGAATATAAAGATACTCAGGATCATAAGGAACTTGCGTACGACAACAGCAAGATATACTCCAGGCTCAGGGATAGCGCGGAATCGCTCACAGAAGACAACGCGTTGCTAGACTACAGTATGGTGCGTAAAATGGAATCTCAGAATCGACTTACGCCGGCGAGAACGGATAACGTACTCCGGGATAGCGGGATCGACACCAGCATGACGTACTCTAAGCGAAAACTTGCACCGAATGCAAGAATCTCGCACGAACCCGGCGCCATTTTGAAAAATATAGAATCTTACTCATCCGAAGAACTTAACGAACGGAAAAGCAGCTTGGAAAGGTTGACTAGTTTAAGGAGCTACGAATCTCAAGTCAGCGTTAACAGCTCCGAATCTCAAGAGAATTCTTGCTGCAAGCCCGTACCAAGCACTAGAACAAAACGTGGCGATCAGTCCCCCGGAGTCACGGTGAACACAAACCTAGCGAATGCTTCCAGTCGATCGTCGTCCGTCAGTAAACGAGCGGACAGTTCGTCGACGGGATACAGCGACGGAGAAACTGATTCAGACATCCCGAGTGCTGTGCAAAGTGCTCCGCCCATCTTTAACACGGCCCCGCCGTTCCCGAGTCCGCGGGACATTAAATACCATCAGTCCAACGTAAACTTGACCCACAGTCCGAATTCCGATATCTGGCGACGTCGGGCAGACTTTTCGTCCATGAACTACAGCGACTATTTAATGTCTGGTCCCCAGAAAACAACGTTAACGCGGTCCCCGAATGTTTCCCAAGACAAGAATATAGAGGATAATATATTTGAACAAGCGCAACATGAGAAACCGAACGAGGCAGCGAATTTTAACGTCAAACTGGATCCCAACGAGCGTTTCGTTCACATGGAAAGCTCGTCGGGTAGGGAACAACGTAGATTAAGCGACAATAGCGTACCTACCGAGCGAATGGAAAACGACCCAACATCGCCCATTAGACGCGATCAGACATACGGACACAAAGAAATGAAAGAGTTCAGTTACTTGAGAAGACAAAATTCGGAAGGAGATACATCTACGAAGTTAGACGCGGTGAACGACGAGAACGCGTTGAAGAGTCCTCTGCTAAAAGGATCGTCGCCCAAGGAGAAAAACTTAAGACCAAAGGAGAAATGCGAACCCGATGTGCCAGTCAGGAGCGCAAGACGGAATCGGCCGTCTCGAGAGTTTCATTGTAGATCTATGGGTGAGAGCGTATCGGACACGGGTGGCGGTGAAACGAAAAGTCTCTTCCTTGGCACGATCAAGGAGAGCGACTTGAACAAGTCTTCGAACGTGTGGACCCGTAAAGATGGCCAACACGAGACTCCTTCGAGATCGGTGACGGATTGGCCCGTGAACAAAGCTGAGTCGGCATCCAAGACCCAGTTACCTGGCAAACGCATGAGGTCCAACGCGATAACGAGCCTCGAGCTGAGAAGAAGAAACTCCGATCCAGCTACTAAAATATCAGGACTCAGCGAGGACAAGCTTGGAACCGATACGAGTCCCAACGATTTCAAACTCGCTCCTGGGATGAACCTTCTTGAATGGAAAGGCAATCTTTTCACCTTAGCTGGTCATCATTTCAGGAAAGTGGCGAGGTTTGCTAAAGACGACGTGTGCGTTTGCTGCCGCGACAAAATGGACGCGTTCGTGACGCAAGGGTACAAGTGCGTCGACTGCAAACAGTTGTACCACGTCAAGTGTATACAGAACGGCGGAGTACTTAAGATGCCGTGTATATTAGCGAACACACCGGGCAGACGGAAAAACAGAAAGCCACCGCGCACGCCCTACGAGTCCGCGAAGCAAACGGTCGCATCCAAGTTCAGCTTAACCGGCACGTCGGCTTTCTCCGACAGCACGGACAAGATCATATCCGATGCCAAGGAATTGGCGTTCATGCAGGACTTCATCACGAAGAAGATATACATAATGGAGGGACAAGAGGAGGGCAGGAAACCTAGCGAGGTGGATCGCGTGTTCAAGCAGGCTCTGCGTAAATTCAAAGACGACCTGGTGATCACTTACAGCGTCGCCATTCAGCAGGGTGTCGAGGGCAACATCAAGTACACCGATCTGATAGCGAACTTCTTGCACGTAATGGAAACCGTGTGCAAGCAAGAGAACACTAGTGCAGATTTTCCCGTGACAATGGGAGTGAACGCGTTCAGAGGATTCATGAACGAATTTATGACGCTAGTCAAAACCGAAGCGCCGGAGAAACAGAGTAAAAGCAAACGTAAGAAGGAGAAGAAGCGGAAACAAGAGGAACCGATACGACACGGCAATCATGTGTTCCAGTTGACTATCATAAACATACCTATGGCCTGCGAGGTGTGCTCCTCTTTCTTTATGTGGCCTATCGAACGAGGACTCGTCTGCCAGAGTAAGTATCCTTACGAGTTTCCCGTTTATTATGATCATTTCGTGTTTCATATCGTATCGAATAGTTGCTTGTAATATCCGGAAGAAAAAGAAGGGTCTCTTTATAATCTCCTGGAAAATAGTCAATTGCCAATAGCTAAAATCGTCAATGCTTCACCATGGCACCACTTAATTCTACAGGGTGTTCGGTAACTAGTGGTACAAGCGAAAAGGGTGTGATTCTACATGAAAAAATAAGTCGAAAATATAGAATACAAATTTTTCATACGAGGCTTTGCTTTCGAGAAAATCGACTTTGAATTTTCGCCGGGTGCGGATGCACTTGATCGTGTTCCGTTATAACGAATCTCACTGTAGATCGTTGCCTCGATACTTATTATCGCAGTTTAAGTTTGTCCTTATCGTATCAGAAAATTGTAGTAATTAGTAACGGCTGATGCTTTTCCACCACATGCACCTAACGAAAGTATCATGTCCGTATATTCCCGATTGCTGTACGTACACATGATGGTAAACTGATGTTGATAGTGTTTATCGATAAAAGTCGGATAGTAAGATAATAGGTAAGAAAACATTTCCGTGCCATTGGAAGTGTTTACCAACATAACTTCATAACACGAACAACTGCATCCGTACCCGGCGAAAATTAAAAATCGATTTTCTCGAAAACAAAGTCTCGCATGAAAAATTTTTATTTTATATTCTCGACTTATTTTTTCATGTAGAATCACCCGCTTTCGCTTGTACCACCAGTTACCGAACATTCTGTATTTAATCTCTTTACTACAAGTCTATGCTATACATTAATATTTCTCGGTTCAGATTGCAAGTTAACGAGTCACAGGAAGTGCTACATGAGAGCGTTGCCAGAATGTGGTAAAGAAGCACCCCACGAAATGAACTCGCGAAACGTTTTCGGCGTCCCGTTGTACAAACTAGACTGCGGCGACGGCAAGGTCCCGTTGGTGGTGGATCGATTGATCACGACCATAGAGATGCACGGTCTGTACACGGAAGGGATATACAGAAAGAGCGGCGTCAGTTCTAAAGTGAAGGAATTGAAACAGAAGATGGACGAGGGTGACTTGGAGAAAGTTGACTTCGAGAATTACCAAGTGCACGTGCTCGCGGCCGTGTTGAAGAGCTTCTTTCGCGACATGCCCGAGCCCCTGTTAACCTTCGAGTATTACGACGACTTTCTGCACGCTGCCAATCTGACGGATCCTCGGGATCGGATCAGCACGCTGTTCGCCATCCTGAAGAAGCTGCCGAAACCGAACTTCGATCTCATGGAACGGCTGATCGTTCATCTGGCCAGGGTGGCGCTCCACGAGGTCGACAATCGAATGTCCCCGTCAGCGTTGGCGATAGTCTTCGCGCCGTGCATACTGAGGACGAACAGGGCACTGCCCGCTCAGGACTCGTTGCAAGACGTTGGCAGGCAAACCTGTTGCGTCGAGACGATCGTACAGGAGAAACTGAGGGTCGTGAGAGCGACTTTGGCCGACATAAATACTCTGGAGTCCGCCTGTCACACGGCCACTCATCGTTTGTCCAGCTTGCGGTCCTCGAAGATCTTCAGCCCGGAGGAATTGAACGCTGCTGCCTCGAGCGTGGCCGCGAGAGGCAACACCGCGGATCGTGACAGAGATCGAGGCGACGAGGAAGCGCTTCTCGTCGATCACATACAGGAGATCCAAAAGGAAAAGGCCCTGCTGACTTCGACTCTTCCCAGCCTAACGAGAGCTTCTTCGGATGATGACCTACTTCTGTCTGCCACGGATTTAGACGATGGCTCTCTCGACGACCTTCTTCCATCCTCTGCCGGTAAATTATTTTCCTTTCGTTACTTCTGACAGTACGAGATTTTTTATTTTAATCAATACTGCAAATCCAATAGCAAAAGCTTTGTTTTTATTTTTTGAAAACAGTTGATGAAATTTCGAATAATGTATGAACAATGCCTTGCACTCTCCATTGGCGTGCCTTGCATCGCAACACCACATTTACGGTTATTTGATACGGATATTCGAAACTCGGTTGTGCTATCTTATTTCTCGGAATAACATTGAAAGTAATTATTCTGTATATGAAATAATGGAATAACGAATTACAATACAATATTCAATTGATGAAATTACAAATATCTTTGCGTCATTAAAACGCTGAAATAATAATGACTCAAAGAATAAAATACATTAGTGTAATAAATATTCTTTATTGGCATTCTGTATACCTATCGTGTATCACGCGTATTTAATAATTTCAAACATACAATGCCTGGTAATAATTTATGCAAATTACAAATATGGAGAACGTTCAACAGATTCTCACACAAATTTTCCTAATATATTCTACAGTTGAAAATATGACAAAAAAATGTTGTTTATAATGCAAAAGTATTGATTCGTTATGCAAACGATATTATTGTATTACAGAATTGATTTGAAATGACTTCATTATGTGGTATAGCTATTATTTCAAATAAATCAGTATTTCGTTTACTTTTATACACATTTTCGAAAAGTACGATTAAAATATTATTTCAAATAGATATTACACATTTTCGTGTCGAATAAAATTTATCCAGCTCTGCGAGGGTCTCGACATATTCATTCTATAGCATGTGTAAGAGATATTTTTTGCTGGTGCAATCGATTATAGCTTAACCCTCTCCGTGCTGAGATTTGATGACTCACCACTTGCTGTGTGCGGAATTCTCCTAGTCCCATTTGTCATGTGTATTCAACGAACGCCCATAGGCGTTCGAGGCACGCAACGCATCGATCAAGTGAATAGCGCATAAACGCTCGTAGCACCCATAGGAGAAGCTATATTTGCACGCTCTTCGAGAGAGTTTCCTAGGAGTTTCTGGCAAGAGCTTAAAATTTAATAGATAATTACGTCACATCCCTTTCCAACGCATCGTTTTAATACTTTTTTAGTCGAGGAAGATTAATTCTGTCCAAATACAATTTCTAAATTTATTAGACGAACCATTTACGTTGATGTCTAGAAATGTGATTTAAGCATGCAACGAATAATTTGTTCGATTCTTGTTTACTAGAGAAAATAGGGTTTATTTAACTCTTTCATACAAAATTTAATTTATTCTGAGATCTATTTGATTCATTTTTTCTTTTTTTTTTTTAATTTTTGTAGGATTCATATATCAAAAAACTTTCATTAGAGAATTGTATTGTAATATTGTATGTTTCTACTGGGGTTGACTAGCTCAGGATCTCTGAACTTACGCCATTGTTTAGGGGAAAAATTTATTTCATATTTGAAGACCTTTTAGTTAATTAGTTTAATTGTTGCAAATAACAAGCATACGGTGTAAGGTTCGACGAGAGTACCGCTTGAATATGTCTGCCACGAACGATAACAACAGAAAATGATCGAGCAACATGAGTGGTGGGTCGTTTGTAAAGTGTGTTTTCGTTTCGTGTCTGTTCGCAGACGGGCTCGTGAGAAAGAAACCGATTCAGAGGCAAAGTTCCGCGGACAATGCATTTCCTACGATCATGAACGTCGACGAGGACATGGTAATGGTATGACCATAGAGGGAAAACGTTGCCACGACGGATGATCGATAACGTGTAGCAACATGACACGCGCTGTGAAGCGTCGACTGACGGCAGCGAATCGACGAGTCTTACTTCTGGTCTCATCGGCAAGCCGCTAGTAATTTAAATAAGTAGTAAAACACGACATTAGGTAGGTCTAGTAATTTGTTCCACGCGAAGTTAAGCTGATAATCCGATCAAACGTACATACATATATACATATACATACATAAAAATATATATATACACACACATATATATATATATATATATTTTTTTTTTCACTCTGTCGCAAAGCTTTCAGAGGTTTCTAAAGAACGATTGACAAATTACGCGAGCATTCAGCTTCACGTGAAAAAAAAATGTACTAAATATTCATTTTATAATCTATTTTTCTCCTGGAATGCATTCCTCTTTATCGAAGACTGTCAATCAAGCTAGGGTGTTCGGAAGATGGACGATCTTAGCCGAACAAGTTCATTCGCGTCGCAGGGTATTCCAATGGCAGAGATCAGCAAAGTACAGGCGTAGAACAATTTTGCATGAAATTGTCGAATAACGAATTAATGACGATCAACGCTGTATTCTTTGTTTCGTACCATCATGTTTCATTTAGACGATGAAATTAATATTTTACGTTGAACGAACAACCGTTTCACAGGATACACGTTGGGAGTGAATTTATTATACGGTGGTTTCACTTCGTTGTCGGTGTTATTCGAATAAACTTTTGCTTATCTCTGCCCAATGGCAAGAATATCGCCCGTTTTTCGGTCGGTGTCACACTTCAACTCTTTTCTGCACGATCGACCGCGAAGGGCTGGAAGTACGTACGGATTATGGTTATCTTCTTGCGAATGAAAAATCCGTTACTGTTACCGAGTATTTAGTCGCATTTAAATTCTCCGTCTACCATCCATGCGTTCTTTCCTTTTTTGTTCTCGTTTACCATCAATTCGGTCGCAAACGATTTACGCATCCTCCTTGTTTCACTCTTTTACAGATTTTTATAGACTGTTTGCGTGAATCGTACCAACACACACACACACACACACATGCCACACACGAAGGTAACTCTTTTCCTTAACCCAGATAAGGCTGAATTTTCTTTGCTAATTTTCTTTTTAAATACTTTACCACAAATAGTTTAAGCATAACGCATTTAAGCGGGGGTGGAAAAAAGATTCAGCCATGCAAGGTCGACGGAATCCCTAAAATCGAGTCTTTCTTCTAGAAAGACGTCAGCCTGATATGCCTAACATAAGACCACGACAACAGTATATTTTTGTATACTTTGTTCGAGACAAATTCTAGATCCTGGAAGGATGCCAGCCGTAACTGGGTTAATCGTAACGGGAGTATAAGTTCGCGGCTTTTTGGTCTCAATCGCAGATTCTCGAAGTAAAAGCGTTATCCTTCCACGAGGATGCGTTTACAGGTGTCGATCCAAGGTGGGCAATATATTAATACAATAATAGCTAACGAAGGAGATGTATGATCATTTATTCCATTATTCTTTCAATTTCGCAGTTTGCTAAACAATTCTTCGTGATAGTAACATATTTCACATTACAATTCCGATCCATGTTTTTATAAAACTAGTCTTTCATATATGTTATTCGAAACTTTTATTCGGATAAGAATTTTGCCCGCCTCTGGCGTCGACACATTCGAATGCCGCGTGACGTAACGAAGCCACTCTCGTCGGGTTTTAATTCCTCTCTCTTCTTTTTTTTTTTCTATTTTTTGGCCCAGGCATATTTCGTTGATCATTTTATGGAATACCCGTGCGCGGCTCTGAGCACGGTTATCGAATCGCTGGGAATCCGTGGCACGCGAGAACGGAGATGAAAAAGAGGAAACCAAAATAGTAGCTTTGTACATATTATACGATGTATTGATATGAGCATCTCGTAATAAATCTGTTATTATTGTTAACTTTACGAGAGTCGTTACCAAGATTATATTTCTACTGTCGATGTTCGTCGCGTTAGGGGCTTTACACGCGCGCCTATAATTGTCGTTTAACGTGTACACACACGACACACACACACACACACACACACACACACACACACACACGTGTACAGAGGGCCTGCCGGTTCTTTTCGTTTCCCTTTCAAAATCGATTTTTCTTTTTACTTAGGGTAACTTTCGTTCGTGCAGAGACGCCCTTATACATATTATATATACATATATAAATACACATACGCGTCGGACACGCGTGAAACGTGTACACAGATACACGTTGGACGTTTATATACGAGTACTTATGTATATAGAGAAATTTTGTGCGCACAGGACTGAGCAGACGGTTTTTTTTTTACTTGAGATTTATTATAATTTCGTTTTAGTTCTCCTGTCGTCTACTTTTTTTTTTTTTTAGTTTTCGCTTTCTTTTATGTTCGCCCCTCCCCTCCTCTACCCCTACTGCCCTTTTTAATATAACCAGCGAGCGTGCAGTTCTCTTGTTTCTTTCGCGCCGAAGCCACGGTGAACTGCTTAACAATCGCGGTGGTTTTGGAACGATTCGAGCGAAACATCGGAATTAGAATTAATACGGGGCAATTATTTTTCGCGGCAACGTTAAATTTAAACCAACGCGGCGAGAGAAAGTAACAACGAGTTTGTATGAGAGCCATACGGAAGTGGAGGATTTCTCGGTCGATGTTTTGGTCTATTGTAAATGCCTCGAGAACAATAACCCAGATTTTAATTTTAGGAATTTAATTTTGTGAGTTGAGAAATAAAATAATTATGGTTCAGTGTTTCTGGTAAATGGAACATTCAAGTGAAATATAGAATCAGTTCCGTTAGTATTCGTATCATTTATGTCTGTTGAAGAAATTCGTTTAAATTTTGTTTCATTAGAAATATGCACTTAATTTAAACAAATTCCTTTAATAGGGATAGAAGCTACGAATATTTATGGGACTGACTGTATATTTTGTTACCCATGTTGGTGTACGCCATAAATGGATACAATCCGCAATTTATTCGTGGCAACTCGATAAAAACATCAGCAGAAAATGCAGCTCGATAAAAATATTGTCACGCAGTTTCGCGTATTTTAACGTAGAGTGACTATCAAACCGTATCGGGCTGAATTGAGATCAGAAATTTCGCGAATCGCGAAGTGAACATTCTCGCGTCCACGAAAAAGTGGCGGAAAAAAAATAACAGAAAAATTCAACACATGAGATTTTTAACTGTATTTTTATCTCCCGCGGCCGCAGGTACGTTTAATATAATTCCCGACACGGTCGAGAAACGAAAATCCCTTAGCCATTTTATTCGAAATCGCGGTCGCTTTAATTTTGACTCGGCCGTAGATTATTTCAATTTCCCTAGTAATTTTCGTGACTCGCGAACGCGTAATTTAAAAGAGCTTTGCACTTTTATTTCTTCAATACCGGCTCCGGAAGTTGCCCCTTCCGGGTAAATAATTTTCAATGCACGTTCGTCCGTCGTTAATGACCTTTGCGCCCGCGGAAAAGCGCTTAATTAAGTCTCGCGAGCACCGCGTTTCGACCGAAATCTCTCCTCTTTCTCTCTATATACTTTTTTTTCCCGCCACTTTTTTCCTCCTCTTTCTCTGTCTCTCTCTCTCTCTTTTTTTTTTTGGGCTGCGTGAGTCGCTCGATTTCGTCCCGTGACGACCGCCAGATTTCCAGTTTCATCGAACCGCGAACGATTGTGCGGATCCGTTCGCTAGGAGCGAGATAAAAAAAGAAAGAAAGAAACGAGAATCTTCGCGCCACGCTTCCTCTCCAAGCTGTACAAATTTCTTTTACCGGCGCGTAATCGAACAATTCAAACGGCTGGAATCGAAATTCCATTCGCGTTGAATTACGTAACTGGGTCGCGCGTGACTTTTACCCAAGTAACTTAGCTTTAAGATCCGGGGAAAATTCGGAAAAAGGCGCGCGGCACGTTCTTCCAAAGCGTTTCTATTCCTTCCACTATGGACTCGCGGGGTCTGCGTACAGGGTGTTCTGTTTTCAATCCGTCGCGAAAATCGTCGAAGTCGCGATGGGAAAATATTTGAACGGATGTCGAAGCGTTTCCAAGTGGAAATCGGTAGATTCATTATGCGAGACGTGTTACTTTATGGATGGAGCTTTAGGTGTTTGAAGACTGGCATATTTTATGTGAAACATTTTTTTGGGGATAGCATTTTGGTAGAAGAGGTGACGAACCTGTTGAAAGCAGTCGAGCTTTATTTTCGTGGAAATAAGTGGATGGTATATTATTGGGTTGACTCGTGAATCATTTTTTATTTAACTGATATATGGAAGCAAGTGATCATGAACCATGGTGATTACATAACTGTTTAATAATATATTTGGAAATAACTTGTATGTTATCAAACGGAAGTTATTTATGAATCAACTCAATACTAGAGATTAATATTTACAAAAGTGAGGAAGAATATTCGGTTGTCTCTGACAAGCACTTTTACTCACAGTTCACCTTACGCTATCTTAACAGAAATTTATTTTTCCTACATATTCATCAATTTACAAACTGCTCTCTTAACCAACAAAAATTATTACTTTCCTCTTTCCTGAAATAAAAATCTCGCAAAAGATAGGAATACGCGGCATTCGTTAAAAGACTAATCCTTCAAATTCTTGACACTCTAGTGAAAATACCATCCACTATACAAAAGCCATCCGTATTAATTAGAGTCGATGTCCCTCGACTCTCGTTCCACGCTCGTTTCGATATCGTAACGAATTTCGACGATGTTCGCGCGATACGAGCCAAAATAGGACACCCTGTGCTCGTGTTACGTTCGTTTTAGAATGATCGATTAACGACTGTTTTAAATGTCCGTTCTCGTGTTTCGTGTATCCTTTTTTTTTTTTCTCTTTTTAAGCTCCTCGACTTTGGTCATACGGGATAGCCTTCGAAGAACGAAGCGGGTGGAAATTCTTCGTTTTACAATTGATCGATTTTTACAGAGATTAGGATAGTTTAGGTAGTTGCGACGTGTTCAGTTTCGAAGCTGGTGTTCGTTCGTGTTTTTTTTTTCCTTTTTTTTTTTTAAAAAACAAAACGTTGAATTGTTGCTCCGTTTTTGTCGAATTCGAAACCACGTCGTCGCGTGCGATCATTCGAATGAACGACGTCGAAGACTGTTCTTCGTTCATTGTACACTTGTACTCTTCGTCTTTCAAGAGTTTCGATGCGAGGGAAGCAATGCGCGCGCATAGATAAACGTTTTGAAAGTTTGGGTACCTTTGTTGATCGGAAAGAAATTAATACTTGTACGTTGACTATTGTGCGCGTGTTGATACGAAAGAAATTCATTAATTCTCCGTCACAGGGTAAAGTTAAGACAAAGGTAATACAGATTGCATGACATTTATTATTAAACGTTGTTTTCTTCGGTGCCCTTTCGCTTTGATTGTATTTCATAGCTTCGAAGGGTTCATCTACTTGCAAGTTAACCTTCTATTGCATGGATTTTATTTAAAACATTTGTTGAAAATGATAGAATTCTATTTCTTGGTTACTTATACATTCATAAATTAATTAATATCTCAATTAAACGGCATGCGTCTGAATGTATAACTGTTAGAGATACCCCTATATCGTGCAAAGTTTTGGGGAACATTGTGCAATAGAGGGTTGATTGTGACGTGTCCCGTACAACCAATTATACGGTCTTCCATTTATTTCTCACAACTGTTACAACTTCCTGAAATATCGTTCTGGTTTTAGACAATATTTTCCAACGAGTTTACACTTAGTATTAGGAAAGTTGTTTCATGGCCATGTCATTCATCTACCAATATTATCCATATTTTAAAGTTCCAGGGTTCTGTATTTGTACATACACAAACTTTAATCGAAAATAGAGTTCGAAACTAACCAAATACAGAACGACTTGGCGAGGAACTTTCCTAATATTCTCCGTATTTTGAAATAAACCTGAAACGAAACTGGATAATATTTATACTAGAAATATTTAGAATACTACAGTAAATGGTAAATGCCAACATAAATGCATAAAATGATATTTTGGAAGATCTGATTTTCGTTTCGTAGGGAGCGTGTTACGTTTGAAGTAGTACTTCGCTGCATTTACTTCAGTGTTTACTGTTTAAATTAGTATTTCGACCTTTTCTACGCCGCATTTCACTCAGGTTTAGGCGTGCTTCGTTAAAAATTGTCCTATTTCTACTTGAATAAAAATCGAATATTTTATAAATCTCTTTCAGAAATTCCTATAAACAGAAAGCACTATTTTCTATCACTTATAGCGAGTCACATTAAAAAGTAAAACAACCGATTTACTGTTTAAACATGGTGCAAAGAATATGTGGTTACAGAAAGGAATTACTTTCGCTATTTTTTTTACAGACGCGTCAGTCATCAAAATTTATACAAACCCTCTGGAATGATGTACAAAACGCGAGGGGTTTCGATAATCTAACTGTTGATCAATAATTTGTCGATTAAACTCAAAGGTATTTTCAAAGAGTAACGGTATGAAACTCGGTTACAAGAGACATCGATAAACACATGAAACACTGTCACAGAAATGTACATATAAATACCACAATTGTATTAAATTTTACAAAAATTGTTTTCATCATTACCACGTCGATACTTCATCGCTCCTTCGTTGTAAACGCAAAGCATTCTCGATTTGCTGCCATTTTTCCCACTTTACGTGGCTGCGACCTGCCAGACTAATCGCTGATCAAAAATTACTTAAAAATCCCCCAAGTGGCGGACGTACCCAAACTTTCGATTATTCGGCGTGCGCACGAATGGCGAGACACCATTGACTAGCGTTAAATGTTCTTTATAATGAAAGTGTTAACTGTTGGTTTTTCAGTGTACAAAGCGTGTTGCAAAGTTCGTTTGTTGTTTCGTCTAGCGTTCCCACGGACGGTAATGCTTGACCAAAAGGTTGATTTTCGTTTCG